AATATGATAATAGAGGTGGTGGTGGTGATATGATATTGGAGGTGGTGGTGATGGGATGTTGGTGGAGGTGGTGGTAACAGAGGTGGTGATGATTGATGGTGGATTGCAGGGAGGGCGATGCAGTAAACATTTATTGACAGACTATGGACCGGGTCTTATTTGCATTAACTGGTGTAATTTTTGCAACAGTGTACTGAGAAAAATTGAAGTGCTCAGTGATGAACTATCTCACCCAACACAGCCGAGAAGGCATGAAGCCAAGCAGCATGGCCCCAGAGCACACAGGAGCCCCTGCAAAGACCACCGTCACACGCCTGTGATCCTCGCTGACACTTCCTAAATGTGGGGTGGGAATCAGCTTTATTATGAAGCACTGACAGTTCTTTAGATTATTATTGACATGTAAATCCCTCATTAAATTATTTCATGGCATTTTTATGTGTCATTAATTTAATTTTATAGACAAAGTAAAAGATTATTTCAAAGGCTGGCTCGAGGAAACAAAGTATTAAAATAAAATGTGCAAGGACTTGGAGTTAGAAAACCAAAAGAGAAGGCTCTCTCAGCATTTCTCATCTGGAAGGACTGAAAGGAAAAGTTCAAGGCTAATATTGTAAGATTAAAGGGACCCAGAAGCTGCACGACTGTGGCAGTTCCAGCTGACCAGTGGCTCTGTGGAAGCAAGAAGGGCAGTCTCCTGTGTGATTTACAGCCTCAGAAACCCAGTGGAGGGGCAGCTGGGAATTGGTTCAGACTTTATGGCAATGACAGAGAGTTTGAGATGGGCAACATATGGAGCAATACAGAAAACAGCCAAAGAATGTACAGTCACTGTGCCAGAAATAATTGCTCAGCATTAGATGTTTCAGGAGGGTGGCATATGATCAAGAAAGAACCATATTGAAGGGAGAAATCCAAGCTTTACTGAAGGCATTGGCAAAAACCAAGTTCCAGGAATTAATTGAATAGGATTTGAGTTGTTTGAGCAAATGACTGCAGTCCTGGAAGTATTCACTTCTCAGCATCAAGAAATTTGGCGGACCACTGCCTAGCCAGCCAACTGGAAGGGATATGTTTTTTTTGCTCTATCCAAATAAAAGTGATCTAGCAAAATGGAGACAATACCAATATTACACACAAGTAAAACTTTGCTGAAGATAATTTTCAAATTATTGGAGCAGTAAACCAATAGGGAACTGCCAAAAAGTCGAGCTGGATTCAGAAGAGGATATAGAATGAATGATATCATAACTGACATGAGATAGATTTGACTGAAAGAAGTAAATACCAGAAGGATGTTTACCTCTATTTTATTGACTTTGCAAAGGCATTTGACTGTGTGAGTAGTAATAAATTATGGAAAGAATGGGAATTCTGGAACGATTAACTGTGCACATGCAGAACCTATGCATAGACCACAGAGCAGTTGTTTGAACAGGACATGAAGACATGTGTGGTTTAAGACCAGGGAGAGTGTGACTCAACATTGCATCCTTGCACCAGGTTTGCTCAGTGTGTGTTTGTATTTAATGATGTAACATAGGATTTGGAAGGAGACAACCTGGGATATGCAGAGGACACAGTTTGCTTTTGAAAGAGAATGAAGAAAATAAAAAACTGCAACCTTCAGTATGGATCAAGAAAACAAAAATCACAGCTGAGCCAGTAGCTAGCATCAAGGTAGATGGGAAAGATTGATGTTCTTAAAGATTTCATTTTACTTGAATCCACAGCAAATGCCCCTGATGGTAACAGCAGCCTCCAAGTAAAAAACCATATTTCATTGAGAAATATCTGGTACAGAGGACCCATTTCAAGTGTTGAAGACCAAAGATGTCACTTTGAGGACTGAGGTGTGCTTGAACCAAGCCATGATAATGTCTGTTGTCTCAGATGCATGTGAAAGCTGGACAATGAGTAAGGAAGTCCAAAGAAGTAATGCCTTTGAATTTTTGTCTTCCAAAAGAATGTTTATTATACCATAGACTGCTAGAAGGATGAACAAATGTGTTTTGGAGGAAGTGCTGTAAGGACATTGCTTAGAAGAAGCAGAGGGTTGAGGCTTCTTCTCACATTGGTTCTATCTATATGTTATCCGGGGGAACTGGCCACTGGAGAAAGACATCGGGTCAGTAAGCCAGGGAGTCAGGGGGAAAGAGGAAGACCCTTAGCGAGCTGGACTGACACCGTGACTGCAACAATGGGCTGGAACATGGCAGTGATGGAGGGGATGACGCAGGGTGGGCAGCGTTTCGTCCTGTGGTATATCAGCTTGCTATGAGTTCAAACCCACTTAACAGTAGCTACACAACTGGTGGATTATACTTAGAATTTAGGAAATCGCTGATAGAATCAGTAATGAAAGTTAATTGCTCCAAATCCTATATACTCAGCGAAGGAAGGATATGTGTATGGAATTTCAGTGCCACGAGTCCCTTCCCGAGGGGAACTGCTTATGCTCCTACTGATCATTTGAAGTTTCCATTTCTGTTGGCAAATGTAATATTTAAGTTTTCAGTCCAAATCACAAAAACAAGAGCAAAACATTTCTATCATTTTTGTAATGGTATCCTAACACTGGGAATCTAATAGTGGTGTTTAACTTTAGATGTTCACCTGCATGGTGATTCCACACAAGCAGGTGAGCATTTGTGAACACACCTGAGTTGTGTTTCCAGTGTTAAAACATCACTGCAGAAGTGGTAGGCTCGCACCTGCCCAGCAGCTCCACAGAGGAAAGGCCTGGAGTGGAGGCAGCTCCGGTGGGATTACAGCCGAGGAAGCCCTGTGGGCACTTCTGCTCTGTCCTGGCGGGTTGCTGTAAAGCAACACCTGGTGGTGCACAGTCATGATGATGTGTTCAGCTTATTGATCTTTACTTATGCACACATACATGCTCCATGTTTTCACATATAGCATGCCCCCAAAATAATACACACACAATAGGCACAGCATGTGCAGCCATCTAATGTGTGAATGTTGTGCTTTTAAAAAGAAATGTATGAGTTATTTACTTAAAAGCTGTTATTTATGTAGGGTCATTATATATGAAGTGTGTGTGTGTGTGTACATCCTCTGTCACAAATCAAGTGGTGAACACCTGGGTCTGAACCATTGATCTGTCAGCAGTCTCACACAGGTTTGCTACTATGGCTTTATACTACATCTTGATGTCTCGCAGGGCATTTCCTCCCCTTGCTTTCTTGTTCCAGTAAGTCTTGGGGTTCTTGATTCTTCCCACTGGCCCAGGCACTGTAGAATCTGTGTCCACTCCCCCATTTAGGCCTGTTGGAGCTTTACTGGAACACCAGCATTGGATCATTGGGAGAGAGCGGTCCATGTCACAAAAGACCGACAAACAGGAACTCAGCACCACTTTAGAGTAATAAAGACTTAAAGAGGCCTGAGAACTTAAACCTGGTACCTTTTTGGCTTAAGTTTTAAAGACCTGGGAGAAAGACAGACATTTTAATTTGCACATTGGATGATGGTGGAATATCAATGTTACCTTTCCTGGTGAATGCACACGCACCTTTCTTCTTAAGAGGTAACAGGCTGATCCCAGGGATACTTCTGGCTCCAGACCACTGCAGTGAAGCGAGTATCACAGTAAAGCCAACAACAGAGGTTTTTTTGGTCCTCAGTGGGCAGAAAAGTTATGTCGACATCATGATGAAAGACTTGAAACATTGCTGGAATTACCAAAGCGAAACACAGAGGCAGAGAATGAGCACATGCTGTTGGGAAAATGGTGATGATAGAGTTTCTGGACAGAGGGTGTCCACTGACCTTCAGCTGGTATGAAACATGCTATCTGCCAAGTGCAGTAAAGCAAGGGGTGCCTGTACATGCTGAAGACTTTAAAATACACAAGTAGTGTTACTTCTGAAAGGAGAGCAAGACAGGGTGAGGAAACACGGGCAATAAAGGCAAACATTGACCCTCGGTGAATCTAGAGGAAATAGATGTTCCTGGATCACTGGCCAACTGTGTGGGGGTTTGGGTTTTTTGGGGTTGTTTTTTTGTTTGTTTGATTGATTTGGTAGGCTAACAAATTTTCAGAATAAAAAGTGAGAAGACTAAACTTCATTTATATCTCAGAAAATAGGAGCAGAATTTATGCACCATGTTAGTGTGCTGTATGAAGCTGATGTGATAAAGCCAAACACCATTAGACTTCTGACTTTTCTATACCAGAAAAAAAAAGGGAATTAAAACCAATTACTCACCGCAGAGTTCTTAAAGTATTCACATGTGTCATGCAAGAAGGTGACCCAAGTAATTAATAAGAATCATGTTCCACATAATAGATTTTTGTAAAAGCAGACCATTTCTCTTTCGCTGAAAGCTTCCTGATGACCGGATATTAATTCTCATTAATATTGGATATTATATTACTAAGGATCTCAGGTCCTTGGTTCTCAGGGCAGGTTTATGCACAGTCTAGAAGGAAGGCTGAGCTCAGTTTCTGTGTTTAACAAATGGTGGCACTGTGGATTAAGTGTTGGGCTTCTAACCCAAAAGTCAGAAGTCTGAATCTACCTAGAGAGAGATGAGCTGTCATTTTGTCAAGATTCACAGCCTGAGAAGCCCTGTGGAGTTTCCTGCTCTGTCCTCCTGGGTTGTGGTACGACAGAATCCATGTAGCAAGTTTTTGGGCTTTTTGTAGTGAAGTCACATAGGAGGAAAATTCAGGTGCCCCAGGGGTCTGCAGTGAAGAGTTGATAGCTCCCTTTTTGTTTGCCTTTCAGCTGGAACCGACCCATAGCTGACCCTCCAGTGGGTTTTCAGATTAACTGATAACACAGGAGGAGATTGCCCATCCCTCTCACGTGGGGCAGCTGGTGGATTCATACCACAGGCCTTTGGGATTGTAGACTCATAACCCTCTACCCCTCTTTGCCTTCATTTCACCTCTTTTCCTGAATGTCAGCATGCCGACCCTCAGAGAAGTGCCTGGTCAGGTCAGATCTAACTGTGACACCCCAATCTCCCCACAGCCCAGGGAAGAGCTGAGCTCCTGAGGATCAACCTCCGTGAGGTCGAGTTAGACCCAGACGTCCGCCTAGAGGACATTGCTGAGAAGATTGAGGGCTACTCTGGGGCCGACATCACCAACGTGTGCAGGTAACTTGGTGTGACAGTCGGGGGCCTGAGGCATGTGGGGTGGATTTGGCACCAGTGAGTGTGCAGGGAGACGAATGGGTTCCATCCCAGACCACCGCAATCAAGCCAGGCACACAGGTTGTTTGGCTTCCCAGTGGATATACGAGTTAACGTTTCCACAGGACCATGATCTGTGAAGGATGCTCTGGTGGCCTAATCTACAGAGATGTGAGCTCCTAACACCAGAGGCTTTCTCCATGGGAGAAAGATGGCCAGTCCCCTTCTGTGTGTCTGCATTACAGCCTCAGTGAGTTTGATGAATGAGTTTTAGTGTCTTGTAGGGCACCCTGGTGGTGTAGGTGTTAAGAATTGAGCAGCCAACCAAAGGGTTGGTGATTGGCATTTGCCAGCCACTCCATGGGAGAAAGGACGGTCAGCTCCCATGGAGAGGACCACCTTGGGAACCCCGTGAACCTCACAGAGTCCATGTCCCCAGAACAGCTGCAGCCTGGGTTCTGTTTGCCTGGTTGTCTGTCAGTGTGTGAGAGAGCGTGAGGATAAGGTCTGAAATCTTGTGTAAATTACTGAAACGTGACACAGGTACCAAGGGAGCACATGTTGGGAGGATGGCTCCAGCCGACCATCCACAGACCTGCAGAGTCTTAAACAGCAGCCACAGGATCCACAAACCTCACCCCAAAATGAAGCTGCCTCTGGGCAGCCAGCCCCTTTCTCCCATGTGAGTGACCTCATTGGTTGGATGAATGAGCCCCTAGTAGGATGGTCTCTTCCAGTCCTGCGATTGTGAGGGAAGTGTGCTTGGCTCAGGAATGCCGAGTCAGGCCACAGCCACGCTCAGAGCCTACGCTGAGTGTTGATGGACACAAGTTCCCGCCCCCCAGATGAGCAGAATTGATCAGAGTGAGCTGTGAGTGTAACACAGTGTTTACTCCCGGGTCTGTTTGCAGGGACGCTTCCTTGATGGCCATGAGGCGGCGAATCAATGGGCTGAGCCCTGAGGAGATCCGCGCCCTGTCCAAGGAAGAGCTGCAGATGCCGGTCACCACAGGGGACTTCGAGCTGGCCCTGAAGAAGATTGCCAAGTCTGTGTCCGCCGCGGACCTGGAGAAGTATGAGAAGTGGATGGTGGAGTTTGGATCTGCTTGAACCTCCATCAGTGCTTTTCATTCCTGGTATTTTGGGTTATAAAATGTGAAGAGATTCTGCAATATTTTTTTAAATGCAGATTTGGATTCCCCCCCCCCCACACTTGGACAGATCTTCACTTAAAGAAAAAGAAAAATACCTCCATAACCTTCAAAAGATAGGCCTTGTAGCTGAGGAGGAGGAGAGCTGTCGCTGAAAGCCGGGGTTCCCTCTGCCAGGCTCTGGGCTGCCCATCACATAATCACATGGAGGTAGGACCCCTTCCCAAGGGAAATGGGGGCAGCCAAGAAGGCTCTGCACGTGATCCTAGAACTTGTTTACACAGTACCCAGAAAGAAATCTGCTGCTCATCAGCATTTGTTATTTTTGTTTTTCAATTCTTGGCTGTGTGAACATGAGGGACCTGATACAAAGTTTAACATCAAAAATGGGTTTGTAAAAAAAAAATGGGTTTGTGTCAGTGGCATTACTTTGCTGTTAGGAGAAGATTGATAGTCCATTTTGGGTGAAATAATGCATTTGCTTGTTGAACCCATTAGGATTCAAGTCCGCCAGATGGCTAGGAGTTTTACTAGCCACCTGTACCCGTCCACCACAAATGTTGTTCTATTTAATTAAGTCTCATCTAGCTGTTATTCTTGTGTGTTCCCATCTTTGTTGGATTTTGGTTGAATTTGATGTAGGTACTCTAAATAAACACGTTGGCATTCTAAACAACTTGGTGCTTGTGGCTCATGCAAAACAAACAAGCCGACTTCACTGCAGCTCTGCAGCAACTCGTTCAAGATAGAAGCTGTAACGGGTATCAATAACCGACGCCAGGTATGCCCTCTCGAAGTCCTTCCTTGCCCGGCTTGAGACCTCGTGCTGACCTCATAGAGAGGCTAGAAATCTAACAGGCTCCATCGTTCTAACTGGAGAATGTAGCCAGGACTCACCCATCCACATCTCATCGCTTCTGGGCATCTTGGTATTAGTTTTTTTTCAACTGCATTTACCAGGTTTTATTAGGTAATCTATGCTTTCAGTGATCAAGTATGTAAAGATTATAAGTCTGACGTACCCTTCATTCTCAAAACTTGGATCCCCTGTTGATATGTGCCGCCGAGTGGCCTGCAACCCATAGCAACCTGATACCCAGTAGCTCTGAACCCTGCACCATCTTGAGCCGATCTCACTGTCTCTGACACATGTACCGCATTACCCCCGTTACTGTGTCAATCCATTTCATCTGGGGACTTCCTTTCCTGCACTGTTTCTCTACCCTATCCTGCCTATTAGTTTAAAACTAACACTAATGGAGCTTTTTAAATACTTTATATAAAGTCTCTTAGTATCCTACTAAAGATTTCTTTTTTTCCCTGCTAATAACTCTAGATGCCCTATGATATTCTCAGGTAAGTCTGACTCTGTTTACACTTTAGTATTGTTCTGTTTGGTGGCTCAGTGGCTAAGAATCCAGTTGCTAACTAAAAGGTTGGTGGTTTGAACCTGTCAGCTGCTCTGAGGGAGAAAGGTGCAGCCATCTGCTACTATAAAGACTGCAGCATTTGGAAACTGTGTGGACCAGTTCAGAACAGACTTACTGACATTGAGCTTGGCTTTTAGTAATTCAGTGCTATAAATAACCCCTTTCTACTGAGGCTGAGATTATAAAAGTTAAAATATAGGGGCATCATAATATTATAATTAATTTCTAAGATTGAGAGAAATTTTCTTTTGCTCATGATTTTTTTTTAAAGATACAAAGAAATTCCACTAAGATTATACTACACACTACTGCCATCCCAGGATGTGGGACATTTTTTTCCCCTCCTAGTAATCATAGAGGCAATGGTGATGGCATTAGTGTTTTGATTGTTAGAACTCTTCTCTCCATTTTCGTTGACTTCTCCCTGCAGTTAGTTAGTTCCGACTCATGACATCCCTCCAGCGGATGTAAATCCCAGGAGATGCAGATCTTTCCTTCTCAGAGCAGCTGGAGGATTTGAACCTTTGACCTTTCATTTAGCAGCCCAATGCGTAACACATTCTGACTAGTTAGGACATTCCTCAGGTTTGTAGTTTTTTCTTGGTGTGCATTTAATTTCTTTTCCCCCGTGAATTATTCCTGGATAGCAGGTGGTGATGAGGATTTTTTTTTCTGAGTGTTCCTGGAGGAAGGGTGGTGATTAGGATTCCTGTGTGGCCAACAGAGTAGTGTTTAGAGACGCAGACTCCTGGAAGCACACGTGGGTGTGCACTTCGCACCTGCTCTCCGAGCCGGAGAACTGCTTTGTGCATCTTCAACCATAAAGGCCCCTTGGGTTTTAGAAAGGGGCCTAGGATGATGCCCTCCACACACACAGCACATTCTCCGCTGCAGAAGGCTGCACCACCTAGGCCAGGAGCAGGCGGAATTGCTCCATAAAAGACACATTCAAAATAGCAGTTCCTTCAGTTCACCCTAGAGTGTGTGGCATAGTGGTGCTTGGACTAAAACCCTAAACCACAGCTAACCTCTGTGGGGTCCGTCCTGACTCGCAGCCACCCTGAAGGACAGGACCCCACCAGCCCACAGGGTTTCCAAGGCTGTAGATCTGTGGAAGGGGCCTGTGGCTTCTTTCTCCTGAGAAGTGGTTGGTGGATTCTAACTGCCAGCCTTTTGGTTAGCAGCTGAATGTCTAACCTCTATGCCACCTACAGTCCAGTGAGTTCAGAAGCCTGAGCTTATTGCTGTTGAGTCAATTCCAGCTGGCGCTGACTCTCCAGGACAGGGCAGAACTTCACCAGGGTGTCCGGGGCTGTAAATCTTAACCAGAGGAGACGTTTCCTCCAGGCACCTGATAGTTTCAAATGGCTGACCTTTGAGTTAGCAACCCAGCACTCACCCTACTACACACCAGAGGTACCTACAGGATATTAGGTTCTTTTCTCACCTTTGAAATAGACTTTAAAATTAGAGTTGATCTCCAGGTATTGGATTTTGTAAACCATTTTAACCTTTTCCCAGCTTGGTCTGTGTTTATGAAAAACATCTCCATGGTTGGAGAGATTAATGTTGGTGTCAGCTCTCAGGCAACTCTGTGTTGGCAAGAACCTTCTGGCCCCAGGTAGAGAATTGAGGCAGAAATACCTGGCTTTGTTGTGTTGTAATTATCCAGAGTAAAACACACACACACATACATATACATTGTGCTTGGATCTCTACCTCCAGAGAGATAAGAAAGCTTGGAAAAGGGGGCGTGCTGTCATCTAGCCACAGAACCAGGGGCCTTGTTCAACCTCCTGTGATTGCCATTTCATGGACAGGTTACTTAGTGGGCATTTACTACTCTGAATATTTGCCCCAGTATCTGTCTCACAGGTATATATGGAGGAAGGACCATGTGTATGCAGCCTGCACTTTGCTAGGTGCAGCCCTGGCCCGCCGAACGGCCCGCTGAACGTGCAGCTCTGGCCCACCGAACGTGGAGCTTGAGCCTGCCAAACATTCACTCCCAACCCGCCAGAAATGTGCAGCCTGACCCATTGAATGGCTGTGGAACCTGAGGATTCCAATGACCTCAGTTTACTAGAATTTTTCCCCTTAGAAATAGTCTACTGCATACACGGCACTGTGCTGTATCTGAGTGTCTGTCATTATAGTTTAACTGATGAGAATCATAAAGCAAAGACTATTATTGTGAGGAAGGGAGCTCTGAGGACCTGGTGAGTAAGGGGGTTTGCTCAGTCCAGAGACAGAAAGTTCAAACTCACCAACTCCTCTAGCCATATGGTCTACAGCCTCAAAACCCTGATGGAGGGTCAGCTGTGAGTTGATTCTGACTCAACCATGTGTAACAATATCAGCAGCAGCATTGTAAGGAGCTGTTGTATGTGATGGTTAAGGCCAAACAAAGGATTGGTGTTTCAAACCCACCAGCTGCTCCAAGGGTGAGCAATGGGGTGGTCAACTACCATGAGGATGTCAACTTTGAAACCCTACAGGACAGCTCACCCCTGTTCATGCAGTCACTTGAGCTGGAATCAACTTGATAGCAGTGAGCTTTGGGTTGGTTTGGTGGGTTTTTTAAATATTGTAGTTTCTGGTTACTGCCAAGTCGGTTCCTACCCACAGCAGCAGCTCCTGAGAGTAGAGCTGCCTGGTAGAGTTTCCACAGCTTTCGCTGCCAGGCCTTTCTCCTTCTAAGGCACTGTGGGTTAGAGTGACCAGCCTATCAGTTACTTTACTTATCCTCTGGGCCAGTCGCTGAGTGGTCTGAGACACTGAGTTCAGGTGACAGTCTTCCCTAGAAATGTAGTTTGAATCCTGCTTCTGGCCAAGCAGAGAGCAGTGAGTGGCTGACATAATTCCAGTTCCCCCTGAACTTGACCTTGGCACGTGTTTTGTGTCATTGGAGTGGGCTGTGCACTTCCTTCATTATTGTCTCTTTTATTTAGTCATCGTTTGTTTAACTGTAGGTTCCCACTACTGCCCTTTATCTTACTAATGATATATTGCCTTGGGGTACACCATAGCATATAATAAAATGTTGAGAATGTTTGTTGACCTTTTCCAGGAAAATACCCCTTTAACTTGGATGAGAATAAAGTAGTAATTATTCTTTGGACTTTGGTCACAAACCTGAAATATTTTTAAAAAATTTACAAACTCAAGCACGTGATGTTTATGGGTATTTAAAAACTTGTCACCATGGAAGAAAACAGGAAAAAACAGTTGGGGGTCACCTTACGGGAATGAAAATAGTGAAACCTCAAATGTTATATTTTTATCCTCTCAAGTTATTTTTACAGAGAACAGAAAAATGGTTATAATCACTCAAAGTATATTTTAACCTTAGAGTTTTCAGACTTCTTTATATATTTTATTTAGGATATTTACTTTTGGCGTCGATTCTGAATGTGACGATTGTATCAGTATTTTAAAACTCAAGTCCCTGTTGTTAGGTGCTGCCAAGTCGTATGACCCATAGCGACCCTGTGAACAACAGATCTGAACCCTGTCATAGCCTCTACCA